GATTGCCCCACATGTTAACCCCTTCCTGCCCAGAGCCATTAGTACAGTGTCAGTGCTTTTTGTTAGCACAGATGACTGTGAAGCACACACACACAGCCCCACAGTAAAACACACACAGCACACAGTTAATCCTTTGATTGCCCCACATGTTAACCCCTTCCTGCCCAGAGCCATTAGTACAGTGTCAGTGCTTTTTGTTAGCACTGATGACTGTATTGGTGTCACTGGGGCTGTCAGTGACATCAAGTCAGATCCCCCCAGTGTCAGAATGCCCGCTGCAGTCCTGAAGTCCCGCTATAATTCGCTGATTGCTGCCATTACTAGTAAAAAGAATAATTTTAAAAAAAAACCCAGTATATATACCGCCATTTGTAAATGATATAACTTTCACGTAAACCAATTATCTTACATGTTTTGGGATTTTTTTTAGCGAAGACATGTATCAAATTTTGGCCTAAATTTATGATGAAATTAGATTTTTATATTTTTTTACTGGACATGTTTAATAGCAAAAAGTATAAAATATTATTTTTTTTCTTAAAATTGTTGGTCTTTTTTTTTTATAGCGTTTTATATACAAATCAAATACCACCGAAAGAAAGCTCTATTTGTGGGAAAAAAAGAGCATAAATTTCATTTGGGTGCAGCGTTGCATGACTGCGCAATTGTCCGTTAAAGTAATGCAGTGCCGTATTGCAAAAAATGGCCTGGTCAGGAAGGGGGGTAAATCCTCTAGAGGGCAATAATGATTCATACTTTGAATGTTCTAATCTTATTAGTGGTGTACCTCAAGGTTTTCACTTTTGATATAGAGTTTGGAATGAAAAGTACCAAATCAGTGTTTGTAGGTGACACCAAGCTATGCAGTGGAATAACATCCTTACAGGATATCTCTAATTTACAAGCTGACCTTACAATTACAAGACAAGTTAATTAGGCAACTATGTTCTGCATGAGGAAACTTGACAGGTCCCAGAAGATTACAGGGCCATTCACAAAGCGCAGCGCTTCTTGCACATGCGCAGTGGGCACCCGGCTGTGAAGTCACAAGCTTTCAAAGCCGGGTGACCATGCCAGCACTGGGGAGAGAAGACCGAGGACACCGCTTTACCGAGGAACAGGTAGGACCGCTGAAGGTCTGCAGAGAAGAGCTGAGCGGCCGGCCTAGTATTCTAACAAGTGGGGGGGGGGGGGGGGGAATACCGGGCTTGCCATTCCATATTCGCGCCATAAGACGCACAGACATTTTTTCCATTTTTTGGGGGGAAAAAGTGAGTCTTATGGAGCAAAAAATACAATATCTAATAATAGCATGCACTGCCAACAGTTTTTAAAGCTAAGAAAATACTTTGTTGTATTAAAAGAGGTATAGATTCCAGAAAGAAGTATAATTTTCCACTGTACAAATCATTAGTAAGCTTTCAATAGCCTGCAAGCCTGGAATATGCAGTTCAGTTTTGGATACCAGTTCACCAAAAGGAACTGGAGAAAGTGCAAAGAAGGTCAACCAAACAGATAAGAGGCATAGAAGCTATGAGGAAATATTAGCTGAACTAAATTTATTCTCTCTAGAGAAGAGCTAATTAAGGGGGGATATGATTACCATGCACTGTATAACTACATAAGTGGTCCATATAGTGAATTTGGTGTTGAGTTATTCACTTTAAGGTCATTATGGAGAGCAAGGGGATTATGCAACTCAGCAGAGAAACCAGTTTCCAGGATTTATTGTCAAAGCTAAGGCTCCATTCACACTTGTACGACTTCAAAATCATGCGATTTTCATTGCTACTTGAGCAACTTTGCAACTACTTTGATGAGTGTGACTTTGGTGCAACATTAGCTTTAACCAAGGGTGATGGTTTGTGCTGTACAAAGTTGCACACAAGTCGCATGCATATCATTTAGTGCAACTTTCATGCAACTTTGGAGGGCCTATGGGAAGTCTATGGCCCTCAAATTGCATGAAAGTTGGACCAAAGTAGTGCAGGAACTACTTTCAAGTCACTGCGACTTGGAGTCACACAGATATGAATGGTTCTCATTGGGAAACATGGGGTGTGACTTCACACAAGTGTGAATGGGCTCTTAATTGAACAAGCTGAAGTTAAATGCCAATTGGCTACCACGTACAGCTGCGCCAGATTGTAAGTGTACCAGTTTTAGTAAATCCCCCCTTCTGTGTCTACAGAAAAATTGAAGAAGCCTTTGCATGTTGTGAAGGTTTAATTAGTACATTGTTTTAAAAAAAAATATTTTGTGCATTTATGAATGGGTACAGCTTAGTACATTGTTTTAAAAAAAAATATTTTGTACATTTATGAATGGGTCCAGCTAACTGGATACTAACATTTATAGGTAATAACATCAGGGGCAGTTGATCCAGGGAATACCGGGTTGATTCCTGGGGGGATGAGGAAGAATGTTTTTTTGCCTTACTGAAGCAAATTGGATTATGTTTTTTTGGAGTTTTTTTCTCTGGATCAATTGTGGGTAAAGGATTGTGTATATTGAGGTTTTCCCTGTGTTTGCTATTTTTTTTTCTATTAGTTGAACTAGATGTGTCTTTTCTTAAACCTAACTATGTAATTAGGAGTATTGGTTCTCAGCAGGGGTGGACTGACAACTCATGGGGCCCCCCGGGCAATAGGGGATCATGGGGCCACTGTGTCCTTACCCAAACTCAAAAGCCTATGAAAAAGGTACCAGGGGCATCTCATGGGGCCCCCTACTGACCCCAAGCCCTCGGGCAGTGCCTGAGTTTCCAAATGGTCAGTCTGCCCTGGTTCTCAGATTACAAAGCTATTGAAAAAATGGTCAGTAGCATGAACGTTTTAATCACCAAGAACAGAAGTGCAGAAACATATGGCAAAGGCACATGGAAGGTGTGTTTTCACAGTAGAGTGGAACTTTACTTTAAAAAATGCTAGGATCTTTTCATATCTTAATAAAAAACAAAAATAAAAACAAGAAAAAAAACATTTTATTTTGTCCTCTAGCACTTTTTTTTTCTAGCGTACAAAAAGAAGACCTGACTGACAATGACAACTCTGATCTATCATATCTGGAGGAGGAAAAACAGACAGAGGAGTCTATCACTATATTCAAGTATGCCACCTACACTTGCACAATATGGGAAGAAAGGCATTGAAGGGAAATAGGATTTGTACTAGAAGGGGGATTTAGGGGAGATGATGTGTTCTGGGAGGAGAAGAGGTTTTATCCTGGGAGGGTTGCTATAAGGGGGGATTGGGAGGGGGGCAAAGGTTTGTCCTGGGAGGTGTGTGTATGTGCATATACTGCAAATTTTTTTTTTGGTTGGGGTGAGTGGGGTTTTTGCTAAAAAGGTATAGTGTGAGAGAGTATTGCTTGTGAGCAGGGGTGGACTGACCATTTGGAAACTCAGGCACTGCCTGAGGGCCCAGGGTCAGTAGGGGGCCCCATGAGATGCCCCTGGTACCTTTTTCATAGGTTTTTTTGAGTTTTGGCAAGGACACAGGGGCCCCATGATCCCATATTGCCCGATGGACCCATGAGTTGTCAGTCGGCCCCTGCTTGTGAGGTGAATGTTTCACTGTCCTGACCCTTACAGGCTCCCGTACTCTTTTCATTTTATACTCCTGACCAGGGGCGGACTGACAACTCATGGGGCCCCTGGGCAATAGGGGATCATGGGGCCCCTGTGTCCTTGCCCAAACTCAAAAAAGCCTATGAAAAAGGTACCAGGGACATTTCATGGGGCCCCCTACTGACCCCGGCCCTCGGGCAGTGCCCAAGTTTCCAAATGGTCAGTCCGCCCCTGCTCCTGACCCCTAATGTACTTTACACACTCTTCACTCCTGCATTATTTTCATTACATATTACTGAGCCCTGCTCTCTTGTGCAATGTACTCCTTAACCTGGCACTGAAAGCAGCACTCTGTGTATTACATACTCCTGACCCTTGACATTTTTGCATTTCTCACTCTGGACCCCTGGACTATGTGCATTGCATGTCCCTGACCTCTGCACTGTGCATTATGTAGTCCTAACCTGGCACTGACTGCAACTCTTTATGAGTTACATACTCCTGACTTGCACTCTATGAATTGCACCCCTGACACCTGCAGTCTGCCCCACAGATTTGTACACTAGATACACTATATTTTCCATAACATATTTCTCATCAAAGGGTTCAATGTTTCAACAGTTGCTGGTTGCTAGGGATGGACTTGATGTGCAAGCTGAACGTATAGGTGTTCAGCGGGCTATTCACCCGCCGCGCCCCACAGTGCACTGAGCTCTCACAAAGCAATGCCCCGGGGAAGGGGTGCTCGTTTGTCTCCCTCATCCTTCCCTTACAGGTCTGTGCTCGGATCAAAGGTCTGGTAGGAATTTAGGGGGGGTCCCTGCTTTTCCCCCCATTTTTGGGGGGTGGAGTTACCCTTAAAAGTCCTACCAAGCCTATAGGGCATGGCTTATAGGGGGAACCCCAATCATTTTTCCCCAAATTTTTGGGAGGTGGGGTTCCCCTTAACCTCCCTGGCGGTCTGATTCTTTCCGATTATTGGTGCTGAAAGCGGTACCATTATTTTGCATGGAAATATGTAGTTTTTTTATTGTAGGCCTGTAATTTTTAGGAATAACTCACTGAAATCTGTCCGAACAAGAGTCTAGTAAACATCCCGGGGAGGATAAAAATTTGAAACACGAAATCATAAATTATAATTTAATAAATAATCACAAAAAATAATAATATAATAATAATACATTTAATTCAATAATATAATCAAACCAAAAACACTGAAATTTGAAATATAGCGCCACAATAAGTTCGCACATTGCTGAGCAAAGTCGCAAAATCGTTTTCAGTGTCTGATGATGAATTTCCCCATGAATCATTATCACTCAATTCTGCAAGTGGTTCTGATTTACTATCGCTGTTCTCTAGCTGATCTAAACCGCTTTTGACCTAAAGGGACACTTTTTGGACGCCATGGACGTTTCTCAGTTTCCAGGCAGAAAGAACAGACAACATAAAAATAATGCAGGCAGGGCGCAGAACACAGCACTAGGGACAAAATGTATGTGAAATTGGTTGAGACAGCAATGTTTTACTATGTAAAATGTAAAAAAAAAAAAAAATGACATTTTTAAAAATTTTTAAATTTCTCGCGCCGCCAGCGATGCCCGTACGTCCCGACGTCACAGGGACAGGACACAGAAGCCGGATGCCGGCATCGGCCGGAGGAGATGGCCGGGGACGCTGCAGGGGACACAATGTGGGAGCGCAGGGTAAGGTAAGTGAAGAACAAATGCCGGAGCAGTGCCGCATAGTATTCCCGAGTGTAGCTCGGGGTTACCGCTCTTGGTACTGAAATGTTACCCCGAGCTACACTCGGGAATACCGCCAGGGAGGTTAAAAGTTCTAAAAGGGCCTGGTATGGCTTTTAGAGGGGTCCCCCATGCACTTTTTTTATTTTAATTTTTTACTGGGGGGTCCCTCCTAACCTTCCTACTAGACCAACAGTAAAGGGTCTGGTGTGGATATAGGGAGGGGATCCCACGCTGTTTTTTTTTTTTTTTTTTATAAAAATGTAATTAAAAAAAAAAAAGTGTCAGTCCTGCTGCAGCAGGTTCTATACATTGTACAAAATGCAACTTTGCAGGTAGTTTAAGCCCCCCCCCCCCCCACAGGCATGATATTTAAAATATATATATTTTTTTTACTTTAAGCAATGAAAAATTACTGCTTCTTTAAAAGTGGTGCTTTTTGAAAAAAAAATTCCACTGATTTATGTTCCTGGGGTAGTACCAGAGTCCCCACACCCTTTTATGTCCAATACCTTGCATATAAGCCTTCAAAATCGGCACTTTTGAATTTACAAGTTTGAGTTCCATAGACTTGCATTGAGTTTGAAGTTCGTGCTCGAACATTCATTAGGTACAAATGTTTGACCATGAACTGAACAGGGGGGGGTGTTTAGCCCATCTCTACTGGTTGCTAAGCAGTGTTTGAATATTTTAATGAAATTCTTCTTTAAGGTAGGCTTAGACAAAGTGTTAGCTCTATCTATTTTCAAGGTGCACAAAAGCATATGTAGCATAGGTTTGTGTTATGTTTTTTTATATTGTGCTGAGGTTTATACTGTATGTGTTTGTTAAACTCTTTCCTCTGATTTTGTTTGACGATGGTCCTTATCCGCTCTCACTAATAACAGTTCAGCCATACCCATTTTGCACTGTGGTGTGCACAATATGCTACATTATTACTCTCCTTGGGGTGCCCCAGGTCTGTTCTAATCCTAGGAACACCTCTAGGGGAGAGCTCCTGCATCTCTATTTCTTCTGTGCCTCCCTGACAGGAGTAACTGTAGTATTAGAAGGAGCAGGTTTCTGATAGCTCCTGAAAGGATTTTATGCTCTCCCCAGTCCAACAGCAGCCTCCTATGGGATGAAGAGAGTAGGCGCCAAGAGCAGACCCAGCACAGTGCTGTTGGGTGGTGAGGGAAAACTACCCTTCTTGTGGTCTCTCCTTATCATGTGACATATCACATGATTTGAGATGGGAAGAAGCTGCCTTCTTTTTCAGTGATTACAGTACTGAGAATGAGGTGTAAACTGAGTGCATAGAGGGTGGAGGGACTTAGCTTCTTCCTTCCCTTAGGGCTTGTAAACAATTGCGATAGCCCTCTGAACAGTGATCCATGTTGGACCGTTTTTTCAGAGGGTGTGTGACAGTTGATGAGGAGGCATTATGTTTTCTCCTCACTACTTGTGGTAACCCCTATAAACCTAGTACCTGTAGGGATATTGTAATGATAGATAGATAGATAGATAGATAGATAGATAGATAGATAGATAGACATACTGTTCATTCTTGGACAGGCCAATGACCACTTTACACATCAAAAGAACTCTTTGCTATGTTAATTTTATGCAAGGTCACCTTGCTATTTTGTGAATAGCCTGTTTATCTAATTAGACATTTCAAATGGTACATTGTTTACATGTTTAAGGATGATAAAGAATGTAACTTGACCATACAAGAAGTATTTATTGATTTTAATTAGACTCCAGGGGGTATTATATGGTGAAAGGATGAATTGAAGAAGTTTTGGAACCCCAGAATTATCTGGAGACTTGAAAACTGTACAAAAGATTGTGTTGTGGACTAGAAGACCTGAATTGGACACAGAGGAAGTAACTTCAAGACGGAGCCTCAAATGTGGTGAGTGAATAATATTTCCTTTTTGTATTTATTAGTCTTATAGTAAAAATGCTTACTAAGTGTGAAGATAGTATCAGTTCTGATGGGTGTTAACCCCTTCACGCCAGCGCCTCCCTGCCCTTTATGAGTTTCAGAAGCCAGGAGGCAGGACGGGCGGGGTTTAGGGATCATGTGACCGCCATGATGCGTTGTCACGGCAGTCACATGATCGGGAAAGGTCCCGATCGAAAGAGCAGACCGGGACCTTTCCGAGAGTACCGGACATGTGTGCTGGGAGCGGCAGGGCTCGCGCTCTCAGCACATATGTTTTTTTTAAATAGAACGCAATGTGTGCGGCTGGTGTGAAGAGGTTAAAATGTATTAAACGTCATGCTGGTCCTTATGAGGTTCCAGAAAAATGTAAGCAGACATGGTCTTTAATGAAGGAATTTTTAGAGAAAAATGTTTTTGATAGCAACATTTCAGAAAGTAAGAGGAAAGGTATTGTGCAGGGGTTGTTATTTTGATGTTTAACGTTAGAAAATTCTCTGATAGGTAAAGACAATGAAATTGCCCAGTTACAGAAAGCAGTTGTTAGTAGCAACAAGATCTGAGAAATATTAAAGAACCAATCAGAGGTGGAGGCTGTAAATTTTAAATTGCATGCAGTTACTATTGGGGAAGCATTGATTGAGAAATCTAAACTCTGTGATGAATTATCAGAGGTAAATGAGAGACTAAAATTAAGAATTATAGAATTAGAGAGAAATTCACAAGAATGCAGATATGCATCAAATCTAAAATCCAGCAATCTGCTGCAAAATACAAACTCAAACTTCCCAATTAATGATAAAGAATCTCATATCAAATCTGATAATTCATTGCCAGCTGTCCCCACTGTGACTGCCACAGTTTACAACAATAATAATAATACCGGTGAAGTACGGCTTGTAATGAAACCTTTGAAACCAAAGGAATTAGACAAAATCCTCAAAGAAATAGGAATGGTTCCTGTCCATGATTTAAACAGATTTTTAAAATGGTTTTGTGACTTGCAGCACGTCAGAGATACATGTCAATGCCGAAATCCAATCTGATGGCACCCTTGAAAATTCTCCATGGAAATCATGTATTACAATTAAAAAGATCTGTATTCAGCCTCTAATTATACACAATGTTTTGCTACAATACACATGTTTATGAAAAACCCCTGTGTGTATTGGGAAGAAAACAAAAAATATGGATTGGGCAAACTTTCAGTGGAAAGCAAATTACCGACAAAATGTCAAAAACCCTGTACTAAAAAACGCAGGACTGGACAAATGTATTGGCACCCTTTCACACTCATGCGTAGATAAATAAGAATGTTACAAGCCATGTAATGGCCTTAACTCACCTGGGCAATGTTACAATCCTTTGCTTGTATGGTCTAAAATCATATTACCTGAAAAGATAAAAGGAATAGAGACTGGTGGAGAGATGTAACCAGTTTGCATTTCATATTGTTGTCTGAGCCACACTAGATATTGACAACAGAAATTCTTGGAGGAGTGACGAGACCACTTGTCTCAAAGACCTGATGAACCAAAATTGTCAGCAATCAGAACCCCTCCATTAAAATAGGAAAGTTATTTTTGACTGGGAGGAGATCTTCTTCTTTCACTAATATGGAAGCGCAGTATAGTTCATAGCTCGCATTATTGCATGCATGGAAGCTATCTAGGTGCATATAAAAGATTGGACATATGCTGGATGGTGTAGTATCTCCATGCTTGATATGAAATGTATCTTAAATGGGACTCTGTCATTGTACATATTTAGAAGTAATGGATTTCTGTCATCTGTAAGAAATAATCTTTATCCAAATAAATGCATCACTGGTAGCTAAATAGTGGTTGCTGACGGGAGGAAAAGTAATTTATAAAAAGATTGTCAACGCAATTCATAGTCCTCCTCTATATTGAGATAAGCACCCCTAAACATGTTCCAAAGACATCTTTCAAGCTGGCCTGCCGTGGGCCAGTGTACTGCAGTGTCAGCTGCCAGGAACTATCCGTCGACATTTAAAATGGAAATGCAAACACTATTTGGCAGGAGACCTTCAGTTTGGGAGGATCCCCCCACAGTTGCTGAAAACATCACCAGACATAAAAAAAGCAAGACTTGTAAAATTTGCCAAAATTTTCCACTTGAGTAAGCCTTATTCAAAGACAAAAGCCTCTGGGAAAACTTTAATAAATAACAAATATTTGTACATTTTAAATTGCGCCTTTTTGTGAAATTGAGACCAAATGAGCTGTTTCGGTAACTAAAGCACATCATTTACTGTTTACCGAAAAACGAATGAGGTCAAGAACAAAACACAGTACTTTACGGTAAAAATTTGTGGAGGTTCAATGATATTTTGGGGTTGACCTGTAGATTAAAGAAGATTTTGCTGCCTCTGGCACTGGGTGCCTTGACTGTGTGCAAGGCATCATGAAATCTGAGATTACCAAAATGGATTTTGGGTCGCACTGTAGGGCCCAGTTGTCAGAAAGCTGGGTTTGCGTCAAGGATCCTGGGTCTTCCAGCAGGACAATGACCCCCAACATACGTCAAAAAGCACTCAGAAATGGATGGCAAAGAAGCGCTGGAGAGTTTCTGAAGTGGGCCAGCAATGAGCCCAGATCTAAATCCCATTGAACACCTGTGGAAGATCTTAAAATTGCTGTTGGGAAAAGGTGTCCTTCCAATAAGAGAGACCTGGAGCTGTTTGCAAAGGAAGAGTGGTCCAAAATTCCGGGTGAGAGGTGTCAGAAGCTTATTGATGGTTATAGGAAGCGACTGATTTCAGTTATGTTTTTCCAAAGGGTGTGCAACCAAATATTAAGTTAAGGGTGCCAATACTTTTGTCCAGCCCATTTTTGGGGTTTTGTGTGACATTATGTCATATTTGCTTTTCTGCCTCTGTTTTATATTTGTTCCAATACATACAAAGGGAATAAAACATGTGTATAGCAAAACATGTGTTAATGCAATACCTTTTTTGTGTGTGTGAAATACTTGATTTTCAGGAAAAAATATCAAGGGTGCCAACAATTTCGGCCATGACTGTATGTACAATCTAAATCCATCTGATGTAGAAAGAGTTGTACAAAATTCTATAGGTCATGGTCTTTGGTTTACAAT